TCCATCCAGCAGGAGCCGGCCCCCGGCCGCCGTCATCCCTTCGGACCGGACGTTAGGCGCGGGGTGGCTCGCCCCCTCCCCCCTTTTCCGGCCCTGCCAATAATATGAATCGACTTTCGGGTCGTGATGGCCGTGGAGCAGGGGCTGGGCCAGCGGGGCCGGCGGGGCAGGGGTGGGTGCAGGTAGGTGGCAACAGTCACCCACCATGCGATGTGCACGCCGCCCCGAACCCCCGCCGCAACCCTGTCCGTCAAAAAGTAGGTCATGAATCGGCCAAGTATGCGAGCTCAACATGCATCCAACATGCGCAGGGATTCGACGGGACCCCATATCCGACCCCACCTCCAAGTTCCACGGCCTCCCGCCACCTTCCCCTGCCTGCACCCTCCACCCCCGGCGGCCGCTCCCGACCCTCCACGCCACGCACCCGTTCGGTTATACGGTCGCATGTCAGGCGAGTGTATGATACGCCGTTGCCATTCCAAACCGCCCTGCGGCTTGTGCGGCCTCCAGGGCCGCACCGCAGGGTCTATTCCGAGGTATAGCTGCAACGTCCAACATTGCTGAAATTCAAAGCGGATCTGCCCGGCCTGGTCAACCACAGAGATTTACAGTATCAAAATGATGTCAAAAAACAGAAAAAAAGAATAATTGAAACTCTTCAAAACACATCATTAAAAATACGTCTTATTTCGAACCTTGGCGGAAGAATTGACATTTTTGCCCTTTTCAGGATGGCTGAATTCACTTCCAGATAAATGACACACACTTTTGCAAAGGCCAATGGGAGTGAGGTGTTGCCTTCAAAGAGTAGCTCCAGCTGCCCCCCACCGCCGCGCCTCCTCTAGGATAATTCACATAATCATCCGGCGTGGTTTTGACAGGTCAATATTGGTGGCCGCGCGGGCCGGGGCGGGCCGGGCCGGGCCGGTGGGGCTGACAGTGCATTATCTTGCAATCAGCGCCAAAGGTCGTTAGTGCCCGTCGGGCAGGGCTCGGCGGCAGGCGGCAGGGCCTTAATACGCGCATATTGACACGCGCGGGGGGAACGCCACGGTGTGGACTGTGGACGGTTTTGTAAACGAGCGTGGCGAGCAACCGAACAACCAGGAGGGTCCACTCCTTCATCTGCTAGTGTGTTTTTTGTTTGTTTTGTTTTCAGCAGTAAAGGTGTCTTGCACTTCAGCAACAAGGTTTTCCTCGCATGCAAAAATTTTGCCCGCTTTAGCAATCAACACCACATCATCTGGGTTGTTTTTTGTTTGCTTTTTTGTGTTTTTTGTTTTGTTTTGTTTTGTTTTTCGGTGTATGAATACTCGTAGTTTCCGTTTAAATAACCCCAAATGAACTCGGCTCGTTGCTCTTAAGGCGCCGGGGCACAAACACGGCGCCGGCTGTTCATGTATTTCTGGCGGCCGCTGCCCCCAGAGATAGGGGTGAGGGAAGAGGGGCGCTCCTCGGCGGCGGCGGCGCCCGCACACGCCCTGCGGGTCGTTACCTCTCATTCAGGTGGTCCGCCCGCTTCCACCGCCACCCGCCTCTGCTTGTACTACTCGTGCCGTTCCGCCGCGACAGAGTGGGTCACTACTGCTGGTCTAGTAACCACTAGGCGGCGGCCCCCCGCCTCACCACACGCCTCGCTCAGTGGGCGGCGGGACGCCTCCTCCCGCGGGGCGGTGACGCACGCGACCAGCGGCACAGAGGACAGGGCGGACATGAGCACGGTGCTGCCGCGCCGGTCCTCCCGATGCGAGAGAGGGGGGGAGAGAGAGGGGGG